CTACTTAAGAGAAATTTTTAGTGGAATTATATGCCAAAGGATATGAACATTTTATTTATTTTATTTTTTTTAAAGATTTTATTTATTTGACTGAGAGAGACACAGCGAGAGAGGGAACACAAGCAGGGGGAGTGGGAGAGGGAGAAGCAGACTTCCTGCTGAGCAGGGAGCCCGATGTGGGGCTCGAACCCAGGACCCTGGGATCATGACCTGAACCGAAGGCAGACGCTTAACGACTGAGCCACCCAGGCGCCCCAGATATGAACATTTTAAAGACTTTCTCTTTCTCTGTATATAGACATATACCTTTCCAGAAAGGTCTTATCAGTTTATACTTCCCTCAGCATCAAATGAGAGTAAGTATCTGTCTTCCCTCGCCTTCAAACATTTCCTAATTTGAAAAGGTAGAAGAGTAATATGTTATTTTTATTTTCATTTCCATGATAATCAGTGATAATGAATGTTTTTTTTTCTTTTTTTAGATGGGGAGGTAATTTGTATTTCTTCCTTTGTGAATTATCTACTTATTGGGTGTTTTTAAAGAGATTTCTATGATCTCTTCATTTATTAAGGAGATTAGCCCCTTGGCTAATGTTTATTGGCATGTTTGTTTCAAATTTTATTTTTATTTTTTATTTTATTTTTTAAAGATTTTATTTATTTATTCAGAAGAGACAGAGAGAGACAGGCAGAGGGAGAAGCAGGCTCCCCGCTGAGCAGGGAGCCTGATGCGGGACTCCATCCCAGGACCCTGGGATCATGACCTGAGCCAAAGGCAGACGCTTAACGACTGAGCCACCCAGGCTCCCTGTTTCAAATTTTAAACCAGTTTGTGATTTGCCATTGGATTTTTTGTTAACAACTGTATTGAGGTACAATTCATATAACATACAAGTTACCCATTTTTTCAAAATTTTATTTAAATTCTATTAATTACCATATAGTGTGTTAATAGTTTCAGAGGTAGAGTTCAGTGATTTATCAGTTGCATATCACACCCAGTGCTCATTCCATCAAACAAGTTACCCATTTAAAGTGTACAATTCAGTGGATTTTTTTGAGACTTGTGCAGCTATCACCATAATTAATTCTAGAATATTTTCATACCCTCAAAAAGGAAACTGCGTACCCTTTAGCTATCATCCCCCAAGCCCAACTCTCTCACCAAGCCCCCCAGCCCTAGGCAACCACTAATCTACTTTTTGTCTCTATAGATTTGCTTCCTATGGACATATCATATATTTGGAATCACACAGTATGTGGTCTTTTGTGGCTGGCTTCTTTCACTCAGCATCATGTTTTTCTTTTTCCTTTCTTTCTTTTTTTTAAATGATTTTATTTATTTATTTGCCAGAGAGAGAGAGAAAGAGAGCACAGGCAGGGGCAGTGGCAGGCAGAGGGGGAAGCAGGATCCCCGCTGAGCAGGGAGCCCGATATGGGACTCAGTACCAGGACCCTGGGATCATGACCTGAGCCAAAGACAGACTCTTAACCGACTGGGCCACCCAGACGTCCCTCAGCATCGTGTTTTCAGTGTTCAATATTTTATTCCTTTTTATGACTGAATAATATACCATGCTTTGTCTGTCCATTCATTACTTGAGGGACATTTGGGTTGTTTCCATCCTTGGCTATTATGACTAATGCTGCCAAAGCAATATAATTTAGATTTTAGGTTTTTAAAACTTTGTTTACTGAAGTTTTAAATTCATATCAACCCTATTGCTTGTCTAGATTGTATTTCTTTAGTTGTTTAAGATGAACAAATCTTTTCCCAAACCAATGATAAAATTTTCACCTTTTTAATTTTTTTAAAAGATTTTATTTATTTATTTGAGAGAGAAAGAGCATGAGCAGGGGGAGGAACAGAGGGAGAGGGAGAAGAGAATTCCCCACTGAACAGGGAACCCCATGGGGCTTGATCCCAGGACTCTGGGATCATGACCTGAGCCAAAGGTAGCCGACTAACCGACTAAGCCACCCAGGCGCCCCTCATCTTTTTAATTTTTAAAATCTGTTTTATTTTCCACTTCAGTCTATAATCCATCAAAGCTTTATTTGGGGATATATGAGAATTAGGAGGCATCTAAATAGTCCCTCTGTCCCTTCATCCTCCCCCCCAAATAGGTAACTTTTTCCAGCACCATCTGCTGAGTCATTCTTCTCACCAACCATTTTCTTTATTCTATACTGATTTTTAATGTTTTATCACATATTAAGTTTTTATGAGAATGAAGCTTGATTTTGGGGTTCTCCATTGTATTTAATTGCTGTTTAATTTTTTATAAATGTAATATAAAATAGGACTACACTTTATTGTTTTTTAAATTTTAGTAAGAGGCATAAAACCTATATAAATGGAATTTTCCTAGATAGGAAATTGGATATTATAAAGAAGAACATTGTTGCAACTATAATTTAAAATTCAGTGCAAGAAGAGGGGTTATGTGGCTTGTACTCTGAATTTTATTTGAAAACTGAGGAAGTTTTTTTTCCCCATGATTATTGATTTTGTCAGATTTTCTACTTGTTTTGAGACAATTTTGGTAATTAATATTTTTCTGTAAAAATTGTATTGAAATTTTAAAAATTCTTAGCATAGAGTTTTCATGTCAGTATGTTTCTAAAATTCTTCTCCATATCTGTCATTATCATGTCTTTCTCATTGGCTTATTTATATTTTCTCTTTTGTTTCCTCAGTATATTTTCTAGAGCTTTGACTCTTTGGCCAGCTGACTAATAATAGATCAGTAATTTGGGAGAAATGAAGAGTTTTTTTTTAAGCAATGGACGACTGTACAGTGGGTCTGTCCCAAGGAGCTTATGCCTGTAAAATAGAATAGGGAATTGGCAAGAGTTGATGCCTGGCACTGGACTGCTCAGGGTAGGGTCTGAACAATTCTGGAGGAATTCCAGGGAACTTCTTGCCGTTCTTAGTAACTGATTGGGTGTTTTAAGTGAATGAGGTTATTTTCTTACCCAGGAAGAACCTCAGAAATGGAAAAAATGGGATGGTTCAGGCATCTAGTAATAAAATATTAAAGCCGGATGTGATATAATTATTCAGAAGAAGAATAGTAATTATCACTGATCTTTTTGGCTCTTTCCTAAACAGGCTCCCTTGGTGGGTGGTTGTTGCTTGGGTGGTATGTATGGCTCTATCCATGGGGATGGGTCCTGGCTATTGTAGGAGTCACCCATCAAGGAGAGAAGGCAGCAGGGAAGGGCAGATCCGGCGGAGAAAATGGCAGCCTCCGTTAACATGGCTGGAGAGCAGGGAGGCAGGGAGGATACTGCAGTTAGCCTTTGAGGGGGATAATTAGCACTGATAAAGGAGTCAGTAGGATTGGAAAGGAAAGGAGAGCTATAGCAGATTGATGGCTCTGATACCTAGTGAAAAGCAGTATCAACCCTCCCTGGAACTCCCAGGGTTCTTGGCCTTGTCTCTTAGCACTAAATTCTGCTGGGATTCCTATTGTGCAAGCAAGGTCAGAGACCTGGCTGCGTCTGCCAGGCCTTGTGGAATAGTGAGTCATGGGGGAAATCCCAGAGAGGGGAAGAGCAGCAGGAGTGTGCCTCCTTCCCAGTCTGGGGCCGTGCAGAGGCATCTGTCAGCTGACAGATGCCAGGCTCTAGGATGACACCACTGTCCAAGGCTCTGGGGTTTTTTAAGCTGCATATCTGGGAAGCCTTGGTCCTCTCCCCAGCCTGAGCAGGTCCTGGAGGTCCTTGCCTCACAGTTACAGCAATAGGACACGATGGTGCCTTGCCCCCTTAGCGCAGCTCCACCACCTCAGCCTTCATGGTCATGGGAGCACAGCCTCTCCCCTGGTATGACCTGAGGTCTAGTGTGCAAGCCTATGGGTGCAGCTTTCTTGGGGACACATCAATGGCCTGATGCACCACCCTGGCATTCTACTAGGACTGAGTGCTGTGAGCTCTGCCGGTGGCCACCTCCCACCTCCTGGGAGGCCAGCCTGTAGGAGTCAGCCAAGAGAACCCCTACCTCTCACTGGACCTGCCCTTTTCGATTGTGGGCTCTCAGAAGGCAGGATTGATGTCTCATTTATCTTCATGTCCCCTCAGTGCCTGACTTGTTTGGCTGGCTCTGTAAGTGGTTTAGGAATGAAGAAGAGCAAGCCCAAGAAGGAGACTAGATAAACCTTTCTTCTCTTAACCATTCTTAACTATATTGTTCCTCTTGGGGGATCTGATGAATGCTTTGGACTATCTCCAGGGAAGTATAGACAAACACACATACACACAGAATCTTGTACACAGCCTATCAGTTGATGAACCCTGGTTAAGAGCCCCTGCCTTAGAACTCTGGTAGGTTCCACTTACACCATCTCAGCATCATCTCATTCTGTGCCATGCCCCACACATCTGCACACCCCTCCTCACCTGCTCTGAGCCTGTGCACAGTATAGGTGTTGGCTGGAGTACCAATCTGGAACTCCAGTTACATTGATCCAAGGTTTGTTGAAAAAGATTGCATTTCACTGTTGCTCCAGAGAGGGTCCATTGGCTAGCCATGACCCTGAGGAATAATGGCTTCCTGGGCAGCACAGGTTTTACTTGATGTTCAAAACATGACCTTTAAGTGGACAGCCCATGCTTGACCCCACCTAAGGAGAAGTGGCCTTGTTTCTTCGAAGCCACCAAAGCCAGCAGTGCAGGAGGCCTAGAGATGAAGCTTCCAGAAACCCACTGGTTGAGACTAGACTTAGCAGCCTTGGGCAACATCCTGTTTCAGACTTTTTGGCCTTCTTCTCCACAGTCTTCCTCTTGCTGTCACCCTATCCTTTGGCCTACTGGGTAATTGACTTTTTCCCGGTAGGTTGTTTTTCATGATTTCCTGAGTCACTCCCTTCAGCTTGTATTTATTTGACATTCAGAGCCATTTCCTATTTGGTAATGTTTGGGGCTTTCATGGGGTGGAACGTCCCATCGGTTCTCCTTCCTTGTGCTCCCATTCAGTGATGTCTTTTGTTCTGTAGATTCTGGCTGTGACTCAGTCACTGACACCGAGACTGAGGACGAGAAGGTCCCTTCCTACTTGAAGCAGCAGAACCTGCCACTGCAGACTTCACCTGGGAACCTGATGGTGGTGCAGCCGGACCGTATTCGCTGTGGGGTAGGCACTCGTGGGGCTGGTGGATCAGTGGCAGAACGTGGCCTTTTTAACGGATGTATTTGTTGCGGTAAAGGGAGTGTAATCTCAGCCTTCCCTTGGGGATTCCGTTGTAGATTAGCTGCCCTGGGAATCCCAGTACCTGGGACTTGAGCACACCTCACTCCTTTAAGTAAGAGAGAGGCGAGCTCAGGAAAGTGTGTGTCATCCGAGACTTTCTAAGTTCATAGATCAGAAACACAGAGCGTGTGGCAGGTATGAGCCTTACCAGACACTTAGACCAACCCTGGAGGTAGAGGCCTGGGTCTGTTCCTGCCAGCCTGAGGCTGGGAGGAAGAAGATGGGAGTGGGGGGCATTTTGAAAGCCTGCCTCTCCATCAACTGACCACTCCAGTACTCCAAGTGAATGCCTTGAAGCTTGCTGGCTAAAACTTGCCAATATTGCTTGCTAAAGGGATAAGATAAACACCAAAGCATAATGTGACTAACATTTTCAGGGTGGCACCTATGTTAACAGGTGACTTGAATGTGATGGCCCAATTGATGGTCCACTGTCATTTGAATTCTACCATAGAATTGGTAGTTTTTCATTATCTTTCCTTTCTTGATGAAAAATATGTGATATTAGTTCAGAGCAGCAGAATGCTTCCCTGTGGATATGAGCCCTTTACTAACTTTGCCACCATGGTGTCCTTGGCACAAGAGGGCGTGGGAGCCTTGGCAATGGGAAGTACTAGCCTCCTTGCACCTGTGCGTGGTTTTCCATGTAGCCTGACGCCACGGGGCGTTGGGCAAGGACTCCCTCCATGGGGATTGCAGATTGCCGCTTTGCAGACTGCGGCTAGATTGAGCTCATAGACATGTTGGGTTTAGATTGCACAGTGTTTTTAAAAAATTAGGCATGAAAATCGATTCCCAGCTTCCTTTGAATCAGGATCTGGTAGTACCGGGCCTGAGGTGAGTGGCCGGGCCCAGCAGCCCATTGGATGATGCAAGCATCCGCTAGTTCACAGCTCGTACCACTCCCTTTTCTTTCTTCGCAGCCCACTTCACGCCCCCTCCTCATTGGCCAGGACTTTGTGGGCATTTCGGTTTCCAGTCTCTCTGTATGCCTTCCTGTCTTCCCCGCACTCCTCTCGTCCTAAGACTGGCTGCTGGGCCCCTGTGGATGAGGGTGTTTGGAACTGAAGAATGGCGCCCTTCACACACCTTCCTGATTCTCCAGACTTTCGTTCTTTCTCTTGTCCTGGCTTCCAGGATTCGGCTCGTGGCCTTCTCTAGGTCTCTAGATCCTGGAGCGGCCAGGCTGGGGCTGGATCCTGCTGTCAACAGAGAGGGCACACTCATTCTCTCTGACTCCCCATGCTGCCTGGGAGAAGAAGCAGGCGGGACAGGGCTGGGCCTGCAGCTGGAGGCAGGACCACCACAAACACATTCACATTTAGCCTCAGCAGCCTCCAGAAGCCAGGACCTAGCCTCTCCCTCACCTGTTGTGAAATGGCGGCCCTTGTCCTGAAGGGCTACTATGAGGTCTTTATAGTAGAATCTAAGGATGAACATTTGGAGATTAGCAATGACCGGAAATCTCCCCCCCGCCCCCACTCTTTGGAGGGCCTGTCCTTATCAGTTCAAGTCTTAAGAGGCCCATTCCCCACTTAATGAGCCCAGTAAAACAAGATCATTGCATGTGGTGGGTCTGGCAGGAGACCTCCAAGCAAGGTGATATAGCTACTGGATTGTTCCATGCCTGGGGAAAATCAGGCCTCCAATAAGGTATTCGTGCCCTTTCAAGAACAGCGTAAGAAGCAGAACTTCTCTAGGCTCGTGCCTCTCACATCATAAGGTGCATGTGAGTCACCTGGGGGTCTCGGTAAAATTCAGACTTTGATGGTTCAGTGGGTCCAGGAGGGGCCTGGCATTCTGCATTTTGAATCCACTTCCAGTGCTGTCAGTCCACCGGCTTCCCATTGAGTAGCCAGGCTCATGTCAGAATAGTGCTTCTCAACCTATCTGTGAAGACTCATTTTATTTTGTTTTTCAAAATTCCCAATTCTGCCATGCACCAATGATTTTATAAAATGCAATAAAAAAGAAATGCTATAAAAATGAAATAAAAAGATGAAATACAAGCCCCAGGATTTTAAATTATTACATTAGATTCAACAGACATAAAATTACTCCCATCAAATTGCTATAAAGGTTTATAAACGTTCACTTCTCAAAGTCTTTATAACTTGTCTCTTTGGGACCCATGGCAGTCAGGCCCAGTGCTGGACTGCAGACCCCACCCTGCTCTGGGACAGCCTCACCGGATAGAGCTGGGGCTCGGGGAGACAGGAGACCCTCTGCCCAGCACCCTGATAGGGCACCCAGGAGGGGGAGGGGACACTGACTGGTCTCCTGTTCCAGGTGGAAACCACTGTCTACGTCATTGTGAGATGTAAGTTGGATGAGAGGGTGACAACAGAAGCAGAATTTTCCCCTGAGGATTCTCCCTCAGTCAGGGTGGAAGCCAAGCTGGAGAATGAATACACCGTTTCCGTGAAAGCCCCCAGTAAGTAGCCCCGTCTACCTCCGGAAATCAGGCATCCTGTTCAGGAAGAGGCCCACTCTTGCTTTCTTTTACTTGTCCTGTCTTTATTCAGCAACTGAGAAAAGTGACAGCCAAGATTTGGATCTGGTTGGCATGTTCTATTTAAAGGAAAAGGAAGTTGCAGAAACATACATGTACAATGGGGAAAAAGTGGATATTGTAAAATTTTTTATCCTTACGAAGTTAACATATTAAAATTTTCTGAGGGGCACCCGAGTGGCTCAGTTGGTTAAGTGTCTGCCTTCAGCTCAGGTCATGATCCCAGGGTCCTGAGATCAAGCCCCACGTCAGGCTCCCTGCTCAGTGGGAGAGTCTGCTTCTCCCTCTCCCTCTGTCCCTTACCCCGACTCGTGCTTTCTCTCTCATTCACTCTCTCTCTCAAATAAATAAAATCTTTAAAAAAATTTTTTTTGAGGGCGCTGGGTGGCTCAGCTGACTGCCTTCGGCTCAGGTCATGATCCTGGAGTCCCGGGATCGAGTCCCGCATCGAGCTCCCTGCTCAGCGGGGAGTCTGCTTCTCCCACTGACCCTCTTCCCTCTCGTGCTCTCTATCTCTCATTCTCTCTCTCTCAAATAAATAAATAAAATCTTAAAAAAATAATAAATAAAAATTTTTTTGAAATTAGAGAAAAATAGAAAAAAATTCATCAGACTTTTTTGTTCACAATTTTAAAAACGGTTGTTTTCAATATTCTGTTTTTCTTGATATAATTTTTTTTTAAAGATTTTATTTATTTATTTGAGAGAGAGAATGAGAGAGAGAGAGCACGAGAGGGAGGAGGGTCAGAGGGAGAAGCAGACTCCCCCTGAGCAGGGAGCCCGATGCGGGACTCCATCCCGGGACTCCAGGATCAGGACCTGAGCCGAAGGCAGTCGCTTAACCGACTGAGCCACCCAGGTGCCCTCTTGATATAATCTTATATTTATTCTCTCAGCATCCTTTTGCCCCATGCTGCTATGTGGACTTTGTAACTTTTTTTTTTTTAAAGATTTTATTTATTTGAGAGAGAGAGAGACAGAGACAGAGACAGAGCACAAGCAGAGGGAGCTGCAGGCAGAGGGAGAAGCAGGCTCCCCGCTGAGCAAGGAGCCCGATGCGGGACTCCATCCCAGGGCCCTGGGATCATGACCTGAGCCGAAGGCAGACGCTTAACCCTCAGACGCTTAACCTTCAGACGCTTACCCCTCAACTGACTGAACCACCCAGGTGTCCCCGTGTAACTTTCCATTTTATAACATATTTTTTCTATTATAAAAGTTATGTGTGCTCAATACTGAAAAGTTGAAGAAGACAGCCAAGGTAAAGGAAAGTAAATAGAAAATTGCCTGTATGCCCCAAAGGAAATCAGTGATTTCTGTATTTTTCTGTATCTATGTACATAGCTTCGTATAGTCTCCTAGGCCACTTTCATTACCTGGAAGATACCTATGAGTATTTTCCCATGTTAATAAATATTCTTTTACAACATAATGTTTACTGGTCGCAAGCTAATCCCTTATATAGATGTATCTTAATTTATAAAACCAGTTCCTTGTGTTGGACTTGTATCTTACAAATCATCTTGTTTAAAGCTGCATCATACTCCATTAAAAAGAAGTATCATCTTTTAATTTTTCGCCTCCTCATTGTTATGTATTTATGTCATTTCTGATTTCTTAGTGTCTTCTTATTGTTTTAAATTCTGATATATCAAGCCTCTTTATGCTTGCATGGATTGAGTATTTCCTCAAGTTGGAGCCTCTGAAATGCCAGGCATTTTTTTTTTTTTTAAGATTTTATTTATTTATTTGACAGAGAATGAGAGAGGGAACACAAGCAGGGGGAGTGGGAGAGGGAGAAGCAGGCCTCCCGCTGAGCAGGGGAGCCTGATGCAAGGCTAGATCCCACTGGGATCATGACCTGAGCCTAAGGCAGACGCTTAATGACTGAGCCACCCAGGCGCCCCAAATGCCAGGCATTTTTCAGGATCCTGGAAAACAGGGCTTACTTGCTTTCTGAAATACTAGTCCTGTGGAGTTTGCTGTGTCATCACCAACACTAGGCATTATCATTTTTTTTTTTTTTTAGGCATTATCATTTTTAAATATCTTTGCTAATTGGATGCCTTTTGAAGGAGTAGCCCATTGTTTTAATTTGCATTTCTTTGATTACTAGCGCAGGCTATTTTTCCCTGTTCTCTACTTGTTGCATTTCCTCTTTTGTGAATCGAATCTTTGTGGTTGGTGTATTTTTAATTTTTTCTTTCCCCCTCCAAACCCCTTCCTGTGGTGGAGAAGAGCTAAAGAGCACATAGTCATGACAGCAACAGAGCCAGTGAATCAGTTAATCCCAGTCCAGTGTCGGGGAAGCACTGAGCTCCACCCGCCAGGATCTTGCCCACCTTGTCACCACCAGTGACCTCTGTAGAAAGTGCTTTAAACTCAACTCTTCTTCCTGTTTGTCATGGTCCTGGGCCTACTGTAGCAAACGAAACAGATGAAAATTTTCCAAAAATTAAACTGCAAAGACAAATGAGGACAATTCCTCTGACTCAGAGGCCTCTCAGGTGCCAGCCCCCTCACTTCCTGCTTTTACCACTCCCCTCACCTCTCTCTCCCCGGCCTACCTCCCAAATCTTTCTTCCAGCCCCCAGTTAATTTCTTTCCCATTAAGGTGAATCCATGGACACTTTCCCCTGGACCCTTATTCTTCCTGGGCACATTTGTGGTATTTTTTTTTCTTCTCTTCAGGCCTCTCATCTGGGAATGTTTCCTTGAAGATCTATTCCGGGGATTTAGTGGTGTGTGAAACTGTGATCAGCTATTATACTGACATGGAAGAAATTGGGAATTTATTGTCCAATGCTGCAAATCCCGTGGAGTTCATGTGTCAGGTAAGGATGTTGAAAGGAAGCCTGAGTTTTTGGGACATGTCGTTTCTGCTCGTGGTTCTTCAGCTTCGCATCTGCTGGATGGGAGATGGCTGGATTTAAAATCTGACCTGACCTTCTTCACTTTCACGTTCAGGCCTTTAAAATTGTGCCCTACAACACAGAGACCCTTGATAAACTGCTCACTGAGTCCCTGAAGAATAATATCCCTGCGAGTGGACTACACCTCTTTGGAATTAACCAACTGGAAGAAGAAGATATGATGACAAGTGAGTCAAAAGTCAAGCCTCAGGAAACCAGCTGTGGGTTGATTCTAGTTTGTTGGTCTCAGCATCCAGTCACCCTGTGCTTGCACCTTGCTGGTTCCTGCTCTGCAGCTCATCCTTTGAGAATGATTCCTTCACTAGCTAGCTAGAGAATCTTCTAAACTGTAAATCTGAATACCTCAACCGCTTGCTAAAAACCCTTTGTGGTTCCCATTTGCCTTCTAGATAAAGTCCAAACTCCTTACCATGTTTGCAAGCCCTTCCCAAGGGGTTCCTGCTGCATTTCTGCCCTCATCTCTCTCTACACTGTCCCTGGGCTCTGCTCTACAGAAAGTATGAACTTCTTTCACCTCATGAAAATTCTGCCCTGCCTCTTGCCACCTGAACTCATGGGAGTACAGTTTCTTCCTGTCCTCATTGGTGGCTGTGCACCTGGCTAACTTCTCTTCACCTCCGTACAGTGGCCTAGGTAGCACTTCTTCAAGAAGACCTCTCGGAACCTTCGGCAGGTTCCGTCTACGTGCTGTGGGCTCCCCTGGCATGTTGGGCGTCCTCTGTACTCTTTCTCCTTAGCTGTGCCTGCCTTTTCTGCTAGGCTGTCAGCGCAGTGAGGGCTGAGGCAGCGCCTGGGTGGCTAATTGTAGGATCGAAACAAACATTTGTTCAAGGAGGGAGGAGCAGTCTCCTGTGCACATGTGACATGCTGGGAGCTGGGATAACCGCTCATGTGGGGGTGGTGCCTGGTGGGCTGACAGGATGCCCAGTAGGGTGCTTCTGTGGATACTGCTCTTCCTTCACATTGCATGATGGAACCTGGTTGCCCTCTGCCCTGTGTCCCATCCTTCCAAAGCCAAGAGAGCCAGAAGGGTGGGGTTATATTACCCTCAGGTCCTTCTCCTGAGGCCATTCTCTTATTGCTTCTTCCCCTTTTCCTACTGTGGAATGTTCCTGCATTACCTCCAGCAGTGTTAATATTCTCTGTTGTTGAACTTGGGGCTCAGGAAGAGTATTTCATAGCCTGCCAGTGTGGGGTCCTGGGGACATTCTCAGACCCTTCATCCCAAGGATCATATCCTGGTGAATAGGAAGCTGGGTTTGTTTTACTAAAAAAAAATCTGTATGCAAATATATTTATGTGTGTGTGTGTGTGTGTGTGTGTGTGTACATAAAAGTATATGTCTGTCTATCTTTCACTGTTGGGTTTAGAAATCAACTTTTATGCAAACAAACAAAAGAAAGATTTGTCCCCAACTCCACAACACAAACATGTCTATTTTCTTGGTAGAGTTTAACTTGATGGATCCAGATATTAGTAGGCAGAGGAGGTCATGGGGATATAGTGACCCTAAGGAGTACTTTGTTTCCCATGAATCAGAGGGTTAATGGACTTCCTGTGGTTCAGGTGTATTAATGCCAACATTCAAAACCTGTCCTAAACAAAGAACTCACTGAATACCATCTTATTAATCTTCCCAGCCCTTTTGAGATAGTTTGGAAATATCTTCTAGTTCAAAACTAAGGGCCATGGAAAGGCTAATTAACATACCTAGGATTACTTGGCATGCTTTATGAAATTTGGAATAAGAGCTAAGAAGATGGACTTAATTTTTTTTCATCAGCACAAAGCAATTGTGATAAAGTGCTGTGAAATTTACAGAGAAGGTCAAAACATGATTCCTGTTGTACTTTGTGGCTGCTACTTAAGCCTTTAGAAAATCAGCATATTTTGAATTAGTATTATTTTTCAGAATTCTTTGATCCTTTTAGAGAAAGAAGGTAGAATATTATTAGATTTGCTAATTAATTAACATATCATTTCTTCCGTCATCTGAGGGCATAATCTTCAGTTGTGCCTCAAAGGAAGCTGTCAGCTGTTAGGTCATTCAACCAATTGAGTGCCTGCTGGATGCCATGGTAGTCTTGCCAGCTTTGTCTCCATGAACAAGGGTGCCCGTGCCTTCATTCTTATTTGTCCATTGTTTTCCTGAACAATTTTTCAGATCAGAGGGATGAAGAGTTGCCCACCCTGTTGCATTTTGCTGCGAAGTACGGACTGAAGAACCTCACTGCCTTGTTGCTCACCTGCCCAGGAGCCCTACAGGCATACAGTGTGGCCAACAAGCACGGCCACTATCCCAACACCATTGCTGAGAAGCATGGCTTCAGGGACCTGCGGCAGTTCATCGATGAGTATGTGGTAAGGTCAAGGCGGGAGAGGCCCCAGGAATGGAAGTGCACTCTGTGGTCTTAGGGCTTACCTGTTTGCTAGAGACACGGATGGATTTCATCCCTAGCGTGTGCCCATGTGCCTCTTCTCTGGCAGGGCCAGTATGTGTGGGCTTAAGAGATGCGCCCTGGAGTCCCATGGACCTGGGTCCACATTCCTGGGCCAACACTTGCCAGCCACGTGACTTTGGACAAATCACGTACCCTGTTTCTTTTAGTTTCCTTAAGTGCAGAAGGAAGGTAATGCTAGTTCTGCTCATAGGGTGGTTTTCAGGATAAAAGGAAATAATGTCTGCAAAGCACTGAGGTCCACCTTGAAAGAATTTACAGAGATATTTGAAGAGGGAATCTGCTGCAGGTTGATGCTGACCCCTCTTCCCCACCCCCACCCCCATCTCCAAGGCACTTTGGTGGGATGCTTCCAGCTACCTCCCCCACTGTCAGGTCCATGTGAACTGTTAGGATTGGTTCCTTCCTTAGCAGAGACCACAACGAAGCTCTGCACTTGAGGCTTCCCGGAGCCCAACTGGAAGGTTCCCCTTTAGGCTAATGGCCTGTCTCTTTCTGAGCCTCTGCTGATCTTAAGAGAGATATGCCCAGTTTATTTGCTCATCTGGTTTTGGACCCCCATGTCCTCCTTGATCATTGACTTCTGGGAACTTCCTTGAGTGTAATCTCATCCCGTGCCTAGGCTTTGCTCCGTGCCCCAGTATCGCTTCTCTTGTCTTGGAGACCCCTGCCCTTCCTGACTCCACCCTTTTCTGGTTTTCCTTCATCTTCACGAGTCACAGTGGGGACTCCCAGCCTCTCGCGTGGAGCTGAGACCTCAAAAGGAACCATAAAGACCTAGTCTTTATGTTCTCTTTTGCTCTCTATCTCCATACAGGAGCGAGCCTACACCTCCCAGAAGCTTAACTCCGAGCTCTGTGTTTGACAGTCTGCAAGGCAGCGACTCGCTGAGGCATGGAGGGGGCTCCCCACAGTTTTGGGGGTGATTAAGTGTGTTGAATGAGTAGAATAGCATGAGTGTCTGTTTTGGGCATCACTGACATAAATGAGGCTAAAAGGTGCTCACCGTCCGGAGTATTTACTCAGCTTTACTTTAAAGGCACAGATGTATAAAATGCAGCATATCATTTCCACACCAGTGGTTTTTATTGGGGACATACTGTGTTTACAGTCGTGACTACTATTTATTGAATTTATTTGATTAGCAAATGCCATGATTCACTTAATGCTCACCACAATCCTTGGAGGTTGACAGTATCGTTAATCTGTCTGTAACCAACGAGAAGGGCTTGGGAACGCGGAATAGTTGTGCCCGGGTCGCACTCTAGCAAGGGTGGGGATAGGACAGGAACCTAGTTTGATGCCGATGCTGGGGCTTGTTATTTTACTTTACGTAACAGGGAAGTGGAATGATGGCTTTTCAGTTTGCACCGAAATTAATCCAGTTCTCCAACCATAATCACCTTCAGCCAGTGCATCTTCAGCATTGCTACCAAAAGGTCCCTGCATGTTTTTGCAACCTCTAGGAACTGTCCCGTTTCCGCCTTCCACCACATCGAAACCAAATGCCAGACCTTGACTCTCCAGGCACTTCACAGCTGTCACCTGGGCCAGTCTCATCAGAAAACCAACACACTGTGTCAATAGCAGATTAGCTCTCTTGAGGCAGTGATGATGAAAATGAGGATTTTTGCGGGTTGATGCTGAAATGAGGATTGTGAAACACCGAAGTTTTTTACCAGGAAAAGTTGTGCAGGGTTTCAGAGAGGCCAGCTTTCTGGCTTTACCACCACAGGGAGGCAGAAGGACAGGGGCAGCCTGTCCTACTGTGGGTCACTTCCGCCAAGGCCCTCTCTCCTCTTGGCACGCAGCATGTGAAACCAAGGGAGGCACTGGCGAGCAGCCTGCTGGAAGGAACAAGGACTAGGCAGTGGGCTTCTGAGAGCCATCTGACTACACATGAGGGCAAGAACATCTTAACTGCAGCCCTGTTTAGCCCATTTGGATTTCCATCTGGTTGGTCAGTAAGGGTTACAGCCTTGGGGATCAGTTGTTTCCTTTGGAGGAACCGAGGTGGAGTAGAAAGGTCAGAAGGCAGGATTGCACGCCCTTTAAGGTACTAGGGTTTTCTGAGCTGTGGTTTTCTTATGTGTGAACTAGGGAATATTGCAGCTTTCTCAAGCAGCTGTGGAAAGGATGATGTGAGGTAATGTGTAGGCAAACACCTGGCATCGTACCTGACCCATAGGAGGTGCTCATGAGAAAGTCTTTAATTTGTACCCTATGCTCATTGGACATTTAATGCCCTTCTCTTGTCTGCATGACCCTGTGCTGAGCATTGGGAGAAGATACAAAGATTAAAACAAAACACAGAAAACAAACAGACAAAGACCCGGAGCCTGGCCTCCAGGAGCTTTCGGGCTGGTGGAACAGCTGAACGCTGACCCATGTGAGCCTTTCCTCTTTGCCTGTCCCAAGCGCACCAAAGGCCTCGCTCTACCCAGAAGGCCAGAGTGTCCCCGGGCGCCTGTGAGTCCCGTCTTCCCTTTCAGGAAACTGTGGACATGCTGAAGAGTCACATCAAAGAGGAACTGATGCAAGGGGAGGAGGCTGATGCCGTGTATGAGTCCATGGCCCACCTCTCCACAGACCTGCTCATGAAGTGTTCCCTCAACCCCGGCTGCGACGAGGAGCTCTATGAGTCCATGGCTGCCTTCGTGCCCACAGCCACCGAAGACCTCTGTAAGTAGCACAGCCCAGTTCCGCCTCCGTCCTGCTGCTGATGCATGGCTTTCTTACTTCTCTCGGACGGTGTCGGGGGAGGGTGGAAGTCCCTTGCTGACCCCTGCCCCACCCCAGAGAGATGAAGATCCTGTTTTACACAGTTAGAGCTGTCATCATGTGCTGTGACAAGCACAGTCCTTCTCCAAACTTCCTCTGCTGTGGCTGCTGAGAGACTGGAAAGTGCAGGCAAGGGTCTGGAGGTCCGAGTCGATGGAGGCACCTTGCCTTGTGATCTGAGGGGCGAAGGCCATGGCTCTCAGCCCTGTCAGTCCCCGCGGGCCCTTTCTGTAGTGAACATTGCCCCCTTTGGTGCCCTGACGTGCCGTTCAGATATCATCTAACCCACCTACATGTGAAAATTTAGAAATCGAATATACGCCCTGGTGGAAATGTAAGGTAAGTGAAAGGAGAGGGAGGACTCGGTATTCCTGCGTGTGACGACGGAATGAAATAGCTGCAGACCCCGACACTCAGAATCTCTGCCAATGCCATGGCCCCAAGTGCTGAGCGACCGACGCACGTCTGTTGTATCGGTGACTTGCATACCACCAGCAATGTTGGCATCAGTGCCTGGATTTTCCTAAATGGTAAATGATTCCTCACACTCTCCTTTCCACTTTCATACTAATTGAATTCCTGGAAAATTCCGTGCACTTTAAAACCATGCAGAAATACGAATTGTATTTATCTACGAAGCAGTTTAGTTTCCAGGGTCAGAAATTTATAAGCAGATTCTTTGGGTAACCTAACTTTAATAGATGAATATATAGTAAACTTATTTCTAAAATATCATATCTTTAGGACAGGATTTTTCTTGTAAATTGATTTAACAAATTTTGCCCATTTTTTGGTTAACTTGTTTTTTCCAGTTGTAAAAGTGATACATTCTTATAAAAACTTGGAACAAAATAGAAATGTTATAGCCGAGTTATTAAAAGTCCGTATGACTCTACCCAAAACCAACCAATATAGCGCTCCTAATAGTTTGGTGGGGTTATTTGTCCATATTTTTCTTCGTACCTACTGATATTAAATTAAGAAATATACACACGTACATATGCACAGATATGTACAAATGAACATATATGTGTAAATGTATATCATAAGTCGTCTTTTTTAACCTATATGTATGACTAGTGCAATATTTAGAAGTCACGAGGGGCACAGAATGCTTCATTGTCCAGGACAGCGCTGCACATGACAGAGTGTTTATGTCTTTCCTGCTTCTGCTAGAGGCTGGTACAGTAGTCTCCCCTTAGGTCAGCTGTGACCCAGAAGCAGAGGATCCTCCCCCTGACCTATCTGCGCAAGGTCAGTGCTAGCCTGATGCTATGTCACAATGCCCAGGTCATTTATCTCATATGTAAGCATTTTATCATCTTCTGTCATCACAAGAAGGGTTAAGTATAGTAAAATATTTTAGAGACAGAGAGAGACACCAGGTTCATATAACTTTTGTTACAGTATGTTGTTAAAGTTGTTCTATCTTATTCTTAGTTATTATTGTTAATCTCCTACTGTGCCTAATTTATAAATTAGGAACTTTATCATAGGTATGTGTGTATAGGAAAAAATAGAGTATATGTAGGGTTTGGTACTATCTGTGGTTTCAGGCATCCCCTGGGGGGCTTGGCGTGTCGCCCCTGAGGCTAAGGGGAACTACTGTAGTGTCCCTCCATCATGGTGACAACCTAAAACCCCCTCTTAGATTTTCCAAGCCTCCCCTAGAGGGCAGTGCCACCGTCCTTGAGAACTACTGATCCAAATAATGTTGGACTTCCGTGCACAGCGTTGGAGCAGGAGGACCCACCATGGGCCCTCAAAGAACTTTCTTAATATGTCAGTACCATTTGCTATGAAATGCTAAGCACTCTGAAACACTGCCTGACACAGCCCTCCTTCCCTCTGGGCTATTTATTCAACAGATTCAAGAAAAGTGAGACAAATACCCATCTGTGTATCAGCTTTATTGACGAAGGGCTTTCTGGAACGGGCTGGATCGAGTATTGCCAGCTTTCAGCCTGAGAAGAAGACAGAGGGGCTCTGGGTGCACGGAGCAGGGGGGTGGGCTTGAGTTTCCCACCCATGAACAGAAGAGCAGGCGCCAAGAAGGTGCCTTGGAGTAGGGGGTGTGGGCAGGTCAGGGGCCGGAGGCAGACTTTGACGTGGCAACCGCAGCACCTGGAAGCTGTGGTCCAGTCGTTGTTAGGTGCTTGCTAGTTCGATTGGCTGCCCTTTGGGGAGCGGGGAGAATGCGGGAAAGCTCAGTAGAAGCTCCCTTCCTGCACCTGACAGGGAGGACTGGACGTGCTGGTAGAAGCTCTTCCCGAATGAGTCACGACCCGGCAGGGAGGGCGAGGAAAGCAGGCATCATCCCCCCATCCACATCCTCCATCTCTCTGAATCCTTCAAGACACATAAGAATGCTTTGATGAACCTCCACTTTACAAATGAGAAAACTGAGGCACAGAGAGGTTGAACGACATTCCCAGAGTCTCACAGCGGATAAGTGATAGAGCTCACATTTGAGCTCAGGTCTCTGTCTCTAGAGCCATATTCTTTACTCCCGGCTGGAAATCTCCATCGAACGCTGTTAAGTGTTAGTCCTGGTTTCTTCTAAAGAAGCCACCTAGCTGCCACAGCCCCGGCCCTGCGGTCAGCTCACCAAGTGGCCCCTGGTGCCCTCGGCACTTGCACTTCCGTCTGTCTCCCCGGGGGGCCCGACAGGCATTTCTGGAGCATCTCCTGTGTTTTAGCTGCTTGCCACTTCTGGGTGTTGGGGTCACAAGAGGGGTCAATACACTGTCCTTTCCAATCTGGAACTGAGACCCATTCACAAAAGAACATTTGAAGGACAACCGGAACCTACTTGGGAAGCCTGAGACTGTGTATCAGCATTTCCTCCTGTGTCCTTACTGTGCGGCAGTTGAACAGTTAAAGAATGCCCCACTTCACTAGCTGTTTTGTGTTGACACAGAGCCTTAACACCTGTTATCCCCCTGGAAGCACCAACCCAGTGGAAAGCTGCGCTTATGCTAAACGCAGCCACACACAGCAGGAGCAGTGAACCTCTCCAGCTCTTCCCAAGGCAGTGGAAGGCTATGGAGTGAGCCTGGTTTGTGGCTGTTGGTGAGGTGTAAAGTTACACGGGGTCAGGGGGATTCTGCTTGCCCTGGAGCTAGGAGGAGGCCACCAATAGGCAGGCTGTAGAATTTGGCTGCTTTGAGGATGGGGAAAGGAAGCTCACTGCATTTTTCATTTGCCGGATCATATAAACTCTGAATATTCTGATTCTAGACCTGATTTGGTTTGTGTTTCTGTCTCTGTGGTTTAATCTTGAGAAGGACCAGAAGGAGCAGCAACTTGGACCTGGGGAGGAACCGTTCCTTTTATTAGCAGTGACTCTCTAGGAGAGAAGACGGTCTAGTTCCTAAATAAGCAGGACAAACTGATAAATCTAAGATATGTATTTGCAATACCACCTGGCACAGTAATAACTTGCAACATCTGCCGGCCCTTTTTAGTAAGCAGACTGCTTTTATCTCATCTGTTATTTTGTCCAAGTGTCCTCGGCCTTGGTGGATAGAATTAGCTCCATTTCACAGGGGAGGAAACTAAGGCTCCAAAATTTAGTAGCTTATTTAAGTCCCACTGAGGGAGAACTGGGTCAGGAATCTGGGTCTGCACATTCCTGGGGACAAGTCTGTCTGCCGCCCCAGTGGGATAGAATACTCTCCTGGCCTGCCCTTCTCAGATCTGGGAGGGACACTTAGACAGGAGCTCTTTCTAAATGTCTCACTAGCCACGTTGATCAGCGCCCCACCTTTGTTACCACTGAACCCTCGAGGCTGAAAGTAAACATATTAAGGAGTTTAGGCTACATTCATTCCCACATTTGTTCCCAGGACGAACATTATGGAGTGCAGGCTTTAGGCCAGTTCTTTACTACTTCTTTGGAGGTCACCCAACTCTGTCTGGACAAATCTGCCTCTTTCTGACTTGAGTTTTGGAAAAGGGCTAGGAATGAAGTCCCCTTCTCCAAAGGGAATCCAAACAACCACTAAGTAGCAAGGTTGTGAGGGAAATGGCCCCCGTTGAATGAAGTGGGGCGGGGGCGTGATGTTGGCTTCCGACCCTGAGATTTTGATTCTGCTCCAGGATCTCCTTCCCCTGAACTTTTGTGGGTGTACACAAGCGCGCGCTCACACACACACACACACACACACACACACACACACACACACACACACACACACACACACACACACACACACACCCCCTCACACTCACGGTCTTTAGTTTAGCTATGCTGCCACCAGGTGGTAACTCCGTGTCTTTATCAGACCTTCAACTTTGCTCCCAATTCTCTGGAGAATTTTTTGTTCAAGACAGATTTAAACCATCAACTTCCTCACATTACTCTATAAGAAATAAATATCTTTATTAAGGGTAAGTGTATGCAGACACTAAATAGAAATGAAGGCTGAAACTGACCCAGTGGGGCAAAGGGAGGCCAAAGGCACCGGCTGAGTTCTATTGCTTCTATTCCTCCAGGTGTAGGGGAACTGTGTCAGGGACGTAAGCACTTAGTGACAGCATGCTGGATTAAAGGTGTTAAAAGCTAATAAGATAAAATCCCCACCACCTGCAGTGACCTTGCTCCCCTCTGGACCTGGATCGCCATGGGTCACGCTCTCCTGGGGGCATTGCAAGCTGATGGCTTTGCACTCTGGTTATGTGCTTCTCTGGTCCTTCTCTGGTTACTGGCTCCCACCTCGGTTAGGAAGCACGTATCGTCCACAATGATGTGCACAACAGGCGCTCAACTATGTCTTGATTTTGAGAGTGCCAGAAAATAGAAAATCGTTCTGGGTTTTGGGGGGTGGAGTAGTTTGGTTGACATTCTGGTGCAAAGACTTTCCTGATAGGTGGTGGTGAGACATCTGTTAGAGGGCCCT